GAGACTGGCCTCCAAGGAGAGCAGGCAGCCGATGGCCAACCGGTCGTCCTCGTCGTGGCCCTCCTCCTCCGCCGCTTCAACGGCCCAGCCCTTGGTCTGCGAGAGACGTCGAAGGCCCCACTCTGGCACACCCGCGAACCCGTACTGCTGGTGGTGGCTGAGGAGCGGCCTTTTGGCCTGCACGCGAAGGGCCACTCCCAAAGGCCGAGTCTCTCCCAGCATCCGAAGACCTGGCCGTTCGAGGGTTTCAGACTTGATTGAGGTCTTCTGGGTCTGAGGTTCAGGAGCAAGAGGAAACAACACCACTCGAAAACCTTGGAAAAAAGCTGAAAAGCACTTGAAACGCACCTCAAAAAAGCTGAAACGCACCGCACTAAAGTAAAGGGCCTTAAAGGGTTCCTTTCTCTAACAAAGCAACCCTTCACGCACGAAAGTGTCCCAACAAGGCCTTATTGTTTAGAATGCTTCAAAAACCGTGGGAAAAAGCTGAAAAGCACTTGAAACGCACCTCAAAAAAGCTGAAACGCACTACAGTACCGTAAAGGGCCTTAAAGGGTCCTAGCTTGGGAGTTTTAGGGTGTAGGATTTAGGAACCTTGCTGCAACCGAGCCGGTCTCTCATTCAAAATAGCGACAAGCCACGCTGCGGGGAGGTCGCCACGAGGTCCAGAACCTCGACCTCTTCGTTGAAGACGTGCAGCCAGCAGAGCGAATGGGCATCTGGGTTCAGAATTAGCACCTCCTCGCTCTCGGCCACCTTCTCCAACCTGGCCGGCCAGACAAGGGCCGCACGCTTGTAGCTGCGAACGACGTAGCACGGCGGCAGCCCTGGAAAGAGGAGTCCGTGGCCTTCAGGGACGAGAGACGCCCACCAGCCTTTCTCAACGAACGCCCAGTCCATCTTGTCCTTCACGACCTTCGTCAGGAGCGAGAACCCGGCCAGCCTGTCCTGCTCCGACTCAGGAGTGTGAGAGGCCCAAGTCTTCGTCTGACTGACGCCCTTCAGAATGTCCTCTTCCAGACGCTGGTCGGCGACCTCCTCGACAGACGGGCCCGCAGAAGGAAGAGAGTCGGCCATGCGAAGTCGCTTGGGCCGGACGAACCACTGGTCCGCCTCGAACTTCACGGGCACGATGGCCATGGACCCAGAAGCGACCTCCGGCCTGTGGTAGCCCTGGAGCAAGGCCTTCCTCGAGAGACCGTGCCAGCCCTCCAGCCGACCGATCGTCTTCGAGGTCCCATTCCGCTGCTCGGCCTCACGCTGGACCTTGTTGCCGTCCTCCACCAACTTCGAGTTCAAGAGGCCGCCCCACAAACGACGCAGCCAGGCCTCGGTGTCGGGAGAGACCTCGACGAAAGACCCTGCTCGCAGCTCGGCCAAAACCAAGGCCATGACGGGTGCCGTGGCAGGGTGGCCTTCCAGCATAAGCCTGGCATCGAGAGATCCTTCCTGCTGCACGAACTGCACCGTCCTGTCCACGTCCTCCAGAAAACGAAGGCTCGAACGCCGTGCCTCGGTCGACTCGTGGAGCAGACCGGCCGTCGAGCCCCAGCCGTTCGTCGAAGGCAGCTGGCTGCCGCAGCGATACCTGAGCAGCCGCTGGGTCAGCTTGACGACCCTGCGAGCGACGGCATCCTGCCAGGCCACGGCGGCTTCTCGATTGTCCTCGCCTGGCAGCTCCATGGACATGTCAAGACCGATCCGTTGCAGAGCGGCCAGATCGGAGAGCTTGGCCACGTGCTCGCGAGCGACGGACATGTACGACCAGTGGGCCCAATCGGCATACTGCCTCACAGTCGCCTCCGCCGACCTCAAATCCTCGAGCATCTTGCTGCACCGAACGCCTTCTGGTCCAGTCACAAAGAAGATGGTCCGGGCGAGGGACTTGTTGTCCGGGTTGCAGGCGAATGTCGTCATCGCATGCAGACTGTTGGCCGACTTGCCTCGCTGGTTCTGCAAGACCTTCCGAGCGGCAGACTTGGCAGCAGCCCTCGACGTCCCCACGCTCTCGGCGACCTCGCTGTCGGGCGACCACAGCTGGGCCGCATTCTTGCACCAGCCTTCGGCCACGCAAATGACGACGAGGACCAGGCAAAACGCAGACCAGTCCTTGTCGAGCTCCGCATGGGCCGTCGAGAGGCTGTTGAACCTGGACTGAGAGGCCTTGCTGCCCTTGCTCCTCACGAACGACCTGTTGGGC